TGAACAACAGCCATGCCATGGTCTTGAATCGTACCTCTCTAGTAGGTAACTACCTTCTGCCAAGAGACTGAAGGATGTAAACTACCTACCTAGAAAAAATATTAAGATAAGTTACATAAGCCACATGTATTGATTGCAAATATACGATGTTTTTGGACAAGGTGGTTGTAATAGATGCTTACTTCAATATGTACTGGTAGTCCATCCACAGAAGTAATAGGCTTTAAAGCCTCATAGAGTTCTTTACACAAATACAAAACAATATTTGAGCATCCGAAACCGGCGTAGAAATTCGTTGTCGGAGAATTCCAATAGATTAAGTATTCTGATCACGTATCCATCGCTGGTGTAATTTTTTTTTCTTGTTTTTCAATTTCTGACACGAAAATGTAGTTGCAATAGGCTCGAGGCATCTTTTTCGTATTAAAATGGTTTCAAGATAAACTTAAACCCACGTCCGCGAAAGAGGATAAAATTGTCCCTTTCAAATGTCAAAAAGGGATAATTTTTTCTCTTTCCCTTGGCCTCATGCTACGGACGGGGAGATATATGTCTACTCGTTATGTCAAACGGGGATATACTATAGAGATAAGATAATTTTATCTCTTGTCAGTGGATATAATCGGGGGATATAATTTTTGTCTCTTGCTCATGCTCGCAGGGTGGATAAAACTAAGCAAAGGATAAAATTATATCCTCTCTCCGGGGATATATTCTCTCCGGCTCATGCTAGCTCGGCAGGTGGACTGTGTGCTTGTTTGTCACCTAACGCTATAAAAAAATAAATAAATGGGGTAGTGTATATTCTTATGCCGCCACTAAACAGCGACATTGCTTTGTAGTTATTTAAATATATTTTATTAGTATTTCACCATCAAAACTTGGCTCTCCTTCTTACACCACTTAGACTCTTTGAGAATCAAAATAACTATTCTTAAAAATTAAATGAACACACTTCACCTGCAGTGTATCATCTGCACCAGATCCTTAGATCAACAAGTCTTCATATTACAATGTATTTGCCAAATGCAACCTCATTTAATCAAAATCTGTACTTCTCATTGTTTATCCATCCATCTATCCATTATAGCATATGAAAGTCCACTGGTGAACATAAGCCTTATACATTTCCTCACAAGGAGGATTTTGCCAAAATTGCCAAGCTTGACAGGAGGTTTGGCAACCACTGTTTTCCATTCTTATGAGTTGCCCATCTGCTGCCCATCTCGTTTTCAGGTTGTTTCTGTGGCCTTTTACGATAATCATGGGAGGATATGGAGTAGTGGTTCCACTACTAATATGCCAAGCGTGGCATATTAGTAGCGTATGTGGCGTATTAAGCGTGGTGGTGGTAAACATTTAGTAGGCTGTGGTAATTGTATAAAAGAAGTTTCCTACGTTATATTTTTATTCATTTCATTCATCTATAATAAGCAGGGGTTGAAGGATCTTCTTACACTACCTCTACATGGTTATCTTCTCGATAGAAAATAATATGTATTATAGTGCCTTAAGTGTCTGACTGGCACAGATGCACACACCTGTCCTTCCTAACTTACTTGTATCCAATATAACATTTATTAGCCGCTCGCTGAAAGTTTGCCGATGACTACCGGTACCACCCCCGCCCCACGCTTACTAAGTTAGTACCATAAACAAAGCAGTCGTGCCCACGGAATCCAATAATGCTGTAGCCAAGTTATTAGCTAATTCTAAATTTATGGATGAAAATGACTCATATTAATAATGTAATAATATGTTGGTTTAATGTCAAAAATACTTCATAAAAATTGGACCTGATAAGGGGCACTTTTGTCAAGTTGTTAATAATCTTTAAATTAATACTCAAGAAGTCTTAATTACAACTCTTAAAAGTCGCTTAAAACCTTACAGTCAGTAAGGCCAGAACAACATCTTTTGAGCTAACTAGTATATTTTGAAGATATTTATGTCAGTTTTGTTTTAAAATATCTATATACTTTCTTGTAGGTTATTCAAATGAATAAGCTGCCATTAATCATTACATTCATTGGGAGTGACAACTGTAACACTGGCCATATATTATCTTTGGAGAGTCAAATAGAGCCGTTCATAAAGGATCTAGCAGCTGTGGTGGCAGATGCGCCATAGCTTATTATAAGTGGCAGTAAAGTGGTTATATAATATGTTATAGTGTTAAAAATGTGAATTATATTACTGTATATATAGCTACATGCGATAATATCTTTAAAAATATATATTATGTTATGTTATGGGCATCATATATCAACAGAGAAACATATAGGGAGTTGAAAAAGAGACTAGATGATAAAAACATATGGCAAAGAGAGTGTTTAATTATGAATCAAAACATGCCAACAAACCTACATTTTGGTTTTCAATTTTGAGATCTGGTTAATACATACTTTAGAAATATCATAGTTATCATGCATTTGCTTTTATTTGAATGACAAAGTACTTCCAGTCCACTTGGTGGTAAGTGGCTGCTGCAGTCTATGGACACTTGTATGCAACTTTAAAGAATGCTACGGGTGCATTGTCCCCTTTGAGGACTAAGGTTGAATGCCTCACATCTTGAAAGTATACTGGCTCTCTATACCCTTTGGAGCAGATAACAACAGCAAGCACTGATTTTTAACGGCAGAAATACCTATCCAGATGGAATAAAATACAGTAGGAAAAAAGTCCTACCACCTATTAAAGCTGTGTATTTTGTAATAAAACTTTTGAACAACACCTTGAAATAATTTTCAATAAAGAAATCCTCTACCTACCGTTTAATATAATTACCCACTTGTATTTTGAAATATTGAATTGTAAATATTGTCATACATTTGAATATAATATTGTTACATTTTTTGTGTTGATTTTAATTTTAATAATTTATGTTTTAATTCACCGGCACCACTAAATTTGTGGATTGTAATAGTGATGGTTGACTATATGCTCTTCTGAGAAATAAAAAAATATTTTGAGAACATTATAAATAGGCCAGCGTTCACTTGGGCAGTGTGGTCGACTCTCTCTTCCTCTAAAAAAAATTGAGGACATGTGAAGTCTATCAACAGCAATTGAGGCAGCGTGGCGGATTTTCCTTGCTTTAATTTAAAAAAAAAAAACGACGAGAAGGGGGCCGACACGCACAGGGCCAGCGTAATGGACTCTTTTTTTCTCTAAATAAAAATAAATTTAGGACATTATCTGCCAACACGTATTGGGACAGCGTGGAGGATTTTCCTTGCTCTAATTAAAAAAAAATAAGATATAAGAAGGCGGCCGACATGCACTGGAACAACGTGATGGACTGTTTCTAACTCTAGATTATAAAAAAATTGAGGACATAAAGTCTGCCAACACGCATTGGTGCAGCGTGGAGGATTTTCCTTGCTCTAATTTAAAAAAAAAAAGATATAAGAAGGCGGCCGACATGCACTGGAACAACGTGATGGACTCTTTCTAGCTCTAGATTATAAAAAAATTGAGGACATAAAGTCTGCCAACACGCATTGAGGCAGCGTGGAGGATTTTCCTTGCTCTAATTTAAAAAAAGACATAAGGCGGCCGACACGCACTAGGGCAGCGTGATGGACTACTTCTTGCTCCAAATTAAAAAAAAATGAGGATTACATAATGATTTCTTATATTTACGCGAACACTATACATTGATTAAAACTACTTTTACGGATTTTATAGTGTTTTATTTATATTAATTTTAATACCCGACGTTTCGGGTGCTTTCCAGCACCCATGGTCACGGGGGACTGAGGTGACTGACGTCCCGATGTCAAAGTTAACCCGGAGTACCTTCAGCTTTTTAATTATTGTCTGGTCCGATCTACACAGATTGAACTAACTGTATTTTGAAGTCTTGCAGTGGTATGCTTGGGTTTAATTTTAATTTTATTAATTATAGGATCCCAAGCAGGTGGTAGTACCCAGCCTCCTTCTCTATTGAAATTAGAATGTTTTTTTAATTTCAATAGCCTCACGTATCATCCTTGGTAGGAATCGATGTTCTTTCGCGAGGATTTGTCGTCTATCAGAGGCTATTGAAATTAAAAAAACATCCTAATTTCAATAGAGAAGGAGGCTGGGTACTACCACCTGCTTGGGATCCTATAATTAATAAAATTAAAACTAAACCCAAGCATACCACTGCAAGACTTCAAAATACAGTTAGTTCATTCTGCGTAGATCGGACCAAAGACAATAATTAAAAAGCTGAAGGTACTCCAGGTTAACTTTGACATCGGGACGTTAGTCACCTCAGTCCCCCGTGACAATGGGTGCTGGAAAGCACCCGAAACGTCGGGTATTAAAATTAATATAAATAAAACGCGATAAAATCCGTAAAAGTAGTTTGAATCAAATTGAGGATTGAAGTCTGCTAACACGCATTGGGGCGGTGGCGGGTTTTCATTGCTCTAATTAAAATAAATCAGGACATGTAACGTCGGCCAACACCATTGGGGCAGCGTGATGGACGTTTCATTGCTTTAAATTAAAATATTAGGGAGAATATTTACTTCGACTATAATAATACTTAATAATCCTAACGTAAGCTGCACCGCAAATGACGGAGTAAGCTACCACGGCCCCATGTAATGTAAACGGCATATAACTAAAGATTACCTTAAAATATAAATCAATATTTTATTTCTAATTATTTTGGGTAGCTATTTACAATAAAACATATTAAGTACATATTTAATGTGACATTGAATTCCAAAGCGATACTTTTAAGTTAGGTTTTTTAAAGTTAGATGTGTAAGTTTGTGCCCAAGTGGCTTTTATGCAAGTTTGCTTGTAATTTATTAATTATTACTAATTTAAAAACAAAATCAACTAATAGTTCTTTTTTATTGCAAACATAATATTCCTCATAAAAATATTTTTTATCGCAGGCTCATCAAAAATAAAAAATGAAAGTGTTTATGACATTTTGATGTTCTTAATGCCAATATTAGAATTTTTTTTAATTTAGGTGTTTGGTAATTTCCTTATTCCAAAACTGGTGTTAATAATGGTTTTCCATTGAGGGCGTTCACAACATTTTTCGCAGCTAGTACAGCCATGGAGTCACGGGTGCCTACCGTCGCACTGCCAATGTGCGGGAGTATGACTGAAAAAAAGAAATAATATACGGAAAAATTTGTGCAACAACTTCTTTGTTATAGACGTACATATATGCACATTTTTTTAGCCAAAAGTCCGCTGTTGAACATAGGGCACCCCCAAGGAATGCAACAAAGCACGGTCCTGAGTCATCTGCATCCATCGATTTTCTGAATCTCTTACAAGATCATTTTCGTTTATGTATAACATTCCACATGATGGTAAGTTGATACTGTGGCTCACAGACATCTGCATCTATCTTCGGTTAAAAATCAGAATGCAGATGCGTTGTCAACCCCGGAGGATTAGTATGGAATATCTCGTCAACACTATAAAGGGTCTCCGGTCTCTCTACACTCGCCATACGAAACACAGCAGCGTTGAGCTGCTATTTTACGCTGGTATTCTGCGAGGGCGTGTTTCTGTACCGTTCGAGTCGACCCATTCATGCTACAAATATAATATGTCTGCAGCCTTATTGGTCTAATGGTCCGCAACTGCTAACCATGAGGTCCCGGATTCGAATACCGGGTTGGGCCAAAAATCAGTTATTGGGTTTTTCTGTAAAGAAATTTTCAGTAGCAACCCGGAGAAAAGAAGTTCGCGGTGTTTCACACCGTGCCTCGGGAAGTACGTAAAGCCGTTGATTGTGCGCCTGATCTCTCCCCATGCACTATAATCCAGTCCTGCGCAGATGGCTAGGCTCTGTTGGGACTGGTCGCCGTTATCGAAATTCGGTCTGGAGGACATCATTATCGCTGCAGCATGACTCTACCACATGACATACAATGCTTAAAAGTATAAATGCTCAGAGGTGGACACTACTTATTTATACTTATATTGTTATGGCCCATCTATAGGTACTCGCCAGGAAGCCCTGACCTTACCTGAGAAACGTGATATATTCACGTTCTCTTCGGCATTCCCGGGATAATAATATGGAACAGTGAATTGTCCTACACCGCCATTATACGACGATCGCCAGCATATGGTGAATATGCATGTATACACCGTATATTATACTCATTTTAAATAAGGAAAATAAAAGATATCCTTACAAATGTTGGGCAGTGTCAACAGCTTGTGATCCTTTGGCAGAGGCTCGGGGGAAGTGACGTCAAGTCCCGCGGCGTAAATGTCTTTATTCTTCAATGCGTCGTATAGAGCGTCTTGGTCGACTAATTCTGAAAGATATTAAGTATGATATTGTAATATAAAATTCTTAGAAATATAGTGCAACAATAAGATACAAAATTTAAAAGTTGTTAAGGTCATTTTGTAAAAACTCCTACTATAAAATAAATCAATATATTGTGGGTGAGTAGCGATTTGTGTCTTTAACTCTGCACTTACGGGTCATCTGGCTATTTATATTATTATTTTGATAAAGGTGACATTTAAAAAAAATATTGACCCTTGACATTGTATAATTCTTCTAAGTTCAAATTATTGTAAATGAAATCGTAACGGCTATAAAAAAAGAAGTCGCCAAATTTTCTTAACGTTCTTCTCTAAGAAGTTCTTGTTTTTTCGGACCTCGGATTCGGATTCGGAGATTTTGTTGATTTTGATTTATAATGGTCGCCACACACAGTCGGTTCAACTGATTATTCCAACTGATCAGTTTAAACTAAAACCGTTGATATTTTTTAAAATATTGGATTTTCGATATATCGATAAATAAACATATATAAAACTCCGGTATTGGTATATTTGTAATTATCGATGTATCGAAAATTCAATATTTAAAAAAATATCGACAGTTTTAGTTTAACTGACCGTGTGTGGCGTCCTTAACAGATTTAAACAAGCCTAAATTGAATAATAACTTTTGAGTTTGATCAGCATCTGAGATTCCTTTCAGTTAAAGTGAAATAAATATATTCCTTAAAATCACTCTACCTCCTCGGCCGACGTTGATAAGGATGGCGTTCTTCTTCATTTTTGCCAGCGTGGTTTTATTGATTATGAGTCTAGTCTCATCGGTCAGAGGCACCGCGAGCACAAGAAAGTCGCTTCGCGTCAGCAGTGTATCCAAGTTCACGAACTCTGCGCCTAGATCTTTGGCTGTAAGAACACATGTTTGTTAATGTTTAATATTTAATAATGCTAAATATTTTTACGGCTCTGTACCGCCGCCGTAGTGTATGATAATTTTTCCAAAGCTGTAGTAGTTTAGTGAATTATTGTCGTGCTGCTGGCCGCAGTTTCGACATAGTAAAAACAGAATAGTAGGATAAATTCCGCTCAATGTAATGTAAATGCTCAATGTTTGTCAAAAAAATCCAGCTTTAGGTACATTACAACAAATGCCAAATAACTAAAATACTTAACGTAAATTAACACTCAGCTCAGATTTAATGTTTAAAACTAATCTATATGTAAATAATCTGATGTGATATGATAATTAATGTACTATTGAGTTATGTATCTATGTATATATAGTAATATAGCCATATATATAAGTATACCAAATTCCAAGACGATATCTTTAGCAGTTCCAGAATTCGGGAGGAGACTATCCTGGCTACAGCATCAAGTCGTCATTATGATTATAAGTTCACACACACATACACACACACACACACACACACACACACACACACACACACACACACACACACACACACACACACATACACACACACACACACACACACATTTCATACGCTTGCCGGTGGTAAGGATAGTATAAAAATACATTATACTGGTTTAGTAGTTACAACCTATTTTGACTTTAGCAGCAATTAGAGGCAGCAACACATGCGCTTAGCATGACTGTCTACCGTACTGTCTACCGATTTCTAGAAGTTCTCAACTGCATCGATCATATAATAGGAGTATAGTGGGCGATAGTGTAAAAACGGAAAAGCATTTTCATTCATCTTAAGTTATCCGTAGTCGGTCAATATCAAATCGATACATGATACTCATCATTCAGCTAACATTAGAATAATGTGATTAGGCAATGCGAGAGTAACTAAGAAAGGGTACGGGGAGACACGGTCCTCTTAGAAAATCTTCTTCGATAACTTTGTGTCATCAATCTATAAGAAAAAACATTCAACACTGTCTGGCAGTGTTTCAATGTGGTTGAGTCTGTACACCCTTAGGCCCATCCTGAAAAACTATTGACCACTTCGATGTAGGATTTTAGGATTTTGTGTATTAAATGTTTGCGTATGTGAACTATTAATGGTAACGATGATACAAGATGGTCCGAATGTGAAACTCAACTAATTGTGTCTGCTTCGGTACTGGTAGATACTATCGTTATCGACTGTCTGTTGGCTCAAGCCGCTGCTATAATCTCCCAAAACTTCGCAATGTTACGCATCAACATAATATTATAAAGATGTTTTTAAAAAAATATTTTTATACATAGAGCAACACGGGCCACTGGCGGATCGGAGGGGAGTAACCATAAGCAGGCGTTCCCCTCTGTCAAAGTATAAGTCTACGCGGTCCTATGCGTACAATAAAACTAGTTGCAGTGGCACTGCTCACTAGACTAAATCTAGTAAGCGTTATCTTTCATAATAAGTAATTTTCAATCACATTATTACTATTTACTTCTTTTTCAACTTAAAAGTTAAAATAATAACGGTCGTGTTGTTTAGGATTTGTATACCAACATAGGCCACTCGCCCTCATACAATATGCAGATCGGTTCGAGCGACTGTTATAATGTTATATTATTATAATATATTTATTCGTGTGAAAATGGTAATTAAATGTTTTAATTGTTTTATGTGTTTGGTAGTGACAGACGACTGTTTTGCATGCGCAGATTTCTCCCTGCAAAAACTGACAGACATTTATGTATTGTGGAAAAACGCTATGGCTACGTCCCTCCGGTTCGCCAGTGGCCCGTGTTGCTCGATGATTTTATAGGATATTTTATATAGTAATACTTTACACTGGCGAAAGTACAATCGAGCGAGTCCATTGTCAAAGAAAAAAACTTACCTTCAGGCTTCTCCCGGTGTCCAGTGTAAAGGAACTTGCCAACTTCAAAGCCATGTAGACGCTTGACGACAGCTTGTCCTATACCACCGAACCCAACAATACCGACAGTGCTGCCTGCTATGTCTTGTCCGAGTACCTTTTGAAAGCCTATTTCCCATTCTCCTCTGAAAAGATTTAAATCTACTAAAGTAGCCTTATCTATATTTCTTACTACAAGACAGGTCTCCTCTTATTTTTGAGATGTTCTTAGGGCAAAAAATATTGCGCGTATGTATATGAAAAGTCCACAGTCGAACATAGATTGCCTCATGGAGATATTTCCCATTGATGTAACACTTGGCAGCAGGGTAGGCAACCGTAGTTTTTTATTTTAATTTATTTTCGGTAGCCGCTGCTGCATCTCGTGGTTTTTTTTGTTTGTTACCTCTTACGACACCCACAGGACTAACCTAACCTTTTTTTTCGTGGAGAAATCTTCATGGATACTAGCATAGAAGGTTATGCCGGACTTCTACCGGTTAAAATCCCACGGTGATCACCATCATTGTATACGAGGGGTCCCGGGGTCCCCTTCATCGCTTTGCTACACTAATAGCACGTTCCGGGGGTAATACTGGTTGGCCCCAGCACCCTCGCAGTGCTTCCACGATGTCTCGAGACCACTTCCGTGTCATCGTCCTCCTCGGAGGTTACATATTAAGTAGGCATTTGAAGCCCCTGCCCCGAGCGTCTGCAACGCTGGAGGCCCCGTTTCTGGTAGGGGAACACCGTTTTCAAGAGGAGGGCCGTGACGAACGCCTTGGCGACGCCGTCTCCGAGCGGGGTTCGCCCTCTCCCGATCCCGCTCAGAAGCCTCCTGAATCATAACGGATTCATAGAAGTTGGCTACGGCCCTCCACGCTGAATCCCCGCTCAGCATCGCCGACACGACTACTGGCAGGGAGAGGTTCCGTCCGATGCGGTTTACGAGAATCGTCCGCTCCCGTACCCACGCTGGGCATTTCGCGAGCGTGTGGGAAGCAGAGTCCTAGTCCCGTCCTCCGCAGTGGAAGCAGTTCGGTGTTGCCTTGCGTCCGATCTTGCACAGGTAATAACCGAAGCACTCGTGCCCGGTAACTATTTGTTTGAGTCTGTAGGTGAGTCTTCTTACTCGGGACCCACCTAACCTAACCTAATCCCTGTGGTTAGATATTTGCAACCCGGATAATATCATTCTCCTAGTCTCAATGCCCAACTAATGTTAACCGTCAATTAAAATACTCGTAAGTAAACCATAAAATAAATATAATATTGAGTCAAAAATATTGATAAACTAAGGTAGTAATGCGAAGATTAGAAACCTTTTTTTAATAATTGAATCCAGATTTGTCTATATTTTTTATATATTTACCGTACCTATAGCCGTGTATTGCAGGTGTAAGAATATGCTAATCCATCACCATCATCCTATTTCGTCACGTCCCGTGGATGTTCTAAGAGGCTTCCGATAGATAGTAATCAATAAATAAATAGAAAAAATAGTCTTTGCCAGACGTAAAATAAGGCAGTAGTGCCAACGGTGCGAGTAGTGGCAAGGCGTGAGGTATGTCTATTAGTAGGGGACAATAAGTTCCCATAGTAGTAGCTATAAGTTATATGTAACTTATACAATTTCCTTTATATTAGACTATATTTAGGGATTAACAAATTCACCTTTGTCATGGATGGTTGTCTGCTTATTTAAAGTGTCCTTATAACTCCACACCTCAAGAGTCAAAGGCGAGACGTCTATGAAAGGTAAGACGTCTTGCCTTTGATTCTTGAAGTGTTGCTGCTAGCGCCAGTCCGGCGAAGCGTACTATGTACCAGCTCCAGCAGTAGAATGCTGACGGGTTGATAAAAAAAAAGAAATGTAACAATTGTACACTTACAAATGCCGTCTGACCGCTTATATCTTTTGAATTACTCAACGGATTTTGACGCGGTTTTCATCAATAGAAAAAACGATTCAAAAGGAAGGTTTATATGTATAATACATGAATATTTTGTTGAGATCCGAAAAATACCCGTGCGAAGCCGGGGTGGATTGCTAGTTCAAATTATGTAATATTAAGTGGACGGAAAGACAATGATTAGTGATTCTTATCAGAGATGGACATGTGAAGGACATATTTCGTTTTATCAATCACATGGTTTATTTATCTCTTGCAGTATTATAGTGTAGCCCTCAAGATAAACAAATTATATTATGAGAAGAGGATTTAAACATCAGGCTTCACTCACTCTCTCAGAGCCAGAAGCTAAGGGCTGTGAGGCGTTCTATCTTAGTTTTTAGAAGTGACAATTACTGACTTAAAAGTGCGTCACTTAGAAATATGATAGGCAACGTTCCTATTGCCCGTTATTTTTGGTGCATCACTATAAAAACGTACGGTTGAATTATCCTTGTAACAGCGTAATATGGATTAGAAATATAAACATTAAACATTGTAAATAACACCGGTTTCTTTATTATTTAATATTTTAATCATTGCAAAAGTTACATACAACAATGTACTTTACATAATGGTCTAATTGGAATGATGAATTAAAATATATATTTTTTTGATCGGAAATGCTACGCTACTTCAAAGTTACATCGTCCGTTCGATCTCGATCTGTCAGGATCGCATTCTCAGAGCGGCCAGACTTTAACATTGAAGTGACTTAATATGGTACGAATAATAGATATATAATAGTATAACCTAATTTTGTCAAATTATATAAACTTACTTGTTATGAACATGTCATGTGTTAACTCTATTTTAACTACACTACTAACTACTAACTGCTTTTGAGCTATTATAGCTATTAATTTAATAACGTTAAATAAGTAGTTAAATTAAACTTAGTTATGAAAAACACACTACGTAGAAAATAAATTTTGTCGGTAGGAAGTGTGACGTAAATTTATATTGTATAGAATTGTATTTAAGAAAGATTATAATTATCTAAATATTTTTTCAAAAATAGATTCATTATTTCCACAAATACAAATAAAGTAATTGAAACTAATCGTATCCATATATATGTCAACATTTTATTCTTGTAGTTAAATACTAAAATTAAAATAACAAAATAGTAGTAGCAAGAAAAAATTATTATTTAGACCTCAGGGCAAATAAATTTAGACTAATAAAAATGGAAAACTTTTTTCATTACGAGTATGTAAGTCTAATAATTCAGTGTCGAAAAGAACTTAGATTCCGTGCCGGTACGTCGCCATTTTCTTTCCGATCTTGGCTGACATACTGCCGTATGTATAGAACAAGCAGAAGACCTCTCTCATTGATACCTTGCATTACAAGAATTAGTAGTTCTTTACCTGCGAACTTGGTCCAAGTTTTCTGTGAAACGTCTAGCTGTACCGAGCATGAGAGCTACTGCGATTTCAGCAACAGCTGCGCTAAGCACGTTGGGTGTGTTTGACAGCTTGATGCCGCGCGCCTTTAGCTCGGGCACGTTGCAATGGTTGTAGCCAGCTGATACCGTGCTCACGATCTTCAACTGAGGTCCTAAGAGATAGAATATAAGTGCTAGGGCTAGGGGGAACATTCCAATATTTTCTCGTAATGCCAATGTCGCCCGCACGTGGGCCATCCTCATAACAGACAGCTTATCACCACATTACAGCTAGCTGGCAGGGCATTAATGCCATTTCGGCATTAAGTTTGATTTTGTACAAATTTTTTCTTGAGAAAAGAATTTTTTATCAATCTATATGGCTGAATACACAAACACCAATTTTACAGACTAGTCATGGGGAACTAATACCAATCCGCGTAACCGTGCTGCATGACCATATAGACATATCTTTTACGGTCGCTTACTTTTTTCTAGAATACGGATAGCAAACGAACACACAGTCCATCTGATGGTATGTCTATGCAGTTGCCTATAGACATCTACATCTTTTCGCGATTAAGAATGAAAATACTGGTGCTTAGTCACCTCTGAGGACTAAAAGGGTACGCCTCGTTTCCGGTGGGTTTCCGGTTCTCCACACTCACCACACGAAATAAAACAGCATTAAGCTGCTATTTTATGCTGATGTTCTGTGAGAGCGTGGTCCTTTCCCGGTCGAGCTGACTCATTCGTGCTAAAATAACTGCAGCGTGGCTCTATTACGTATGAAGTATATGTTTAGAGAGATTGATAAAGAAGAGTTATTTACTTACCGGCTCTATCTAACAGCTCCTTTGTGATGGGGTGGTGAGAGACCCAAACGAGTGCCGAGCATCCGGGTATGAGATTCAGTAATTCCTCTCGGTTCTTTGTTAAACCTTCTTCTCCGAAATTGATGTAGCGGCTTTGGAGTACTGTGAAACTATATTTTGATAATTAATGACAGGAAGATAAATAGAGGAGGATAAATAGGGGATAAATAACTAAATAAAAAAAGAAGGAACCGTGAAACTAATAGCTAAGGGTGTTATTATACCAACCGATCGACCGACGGATGTCAATTTGATCGACGGATACTGGACAATGAAACGTTGTTTAATCATCGATCGACGTCTACGAATCTATTGCACCATCGATCGATGCCATCGATTGGCAATTGATCGATTGGTGTGATAACACTTACAGAATGGGCGGTCACTTACTACAGATTTAAAATTACGGGTTTGGGTGTTGACCCATGTGCAATTGATGTAGGTATACGAAACGTTTCCACGATACAGGAGGAAATCCCAGTATTTTGTAAACATACCCTGCAATAATGCCAAAAGTTGACATCTCTTTTTTTCCCCGTGTATTTTTTAAGGCTAAATTCCGAAGCACAGACGGTGCTTTTAGCATCAGCAATTAGCGATTTTGCGGCTGTATCGATGCTACATTGCGTTTTGACGATTTCACAGCATGTGATTGTTGTATTCCAATCGCGCGTTTTAGTGATTGTTTCCTTTTGCATCGCGTTTGGACACTTGCTGTGTTTGATCGTGGTGTCACTCTAGATATGACAAATTACTATATCTAGTGTTACCCGACAGCAACAGGCCACACCTATTTTTAGCCATTAATAAATAGAATACACCTATATTTTACCAACCGAATCGGCTACACCTGGTTGTAACCGGTTAAGACCAGATGTAGCCACGCTTCGGTTTTAGTTGTGACGTAATACATATTTATTGTACAGTAGGTACACACTGATGCGAACTTACTCGTTGTATAGAAGGAAGGGTGTGTATACTATGTGCTCGTTTGTCACATTTCATCATTACAAATTATCAAAGGCCACAGCTGAACATAGAATTCTGCGTTACATGTTAATTATCTGGGGAAATGGTTCTCAATTAAATAAAGCCTTTATCACTCAAAAAAAAAAAGTCTACGAGCATTGACTCTTAAAGCGCCATTTGATTCATGTAAACCTTTATTCAAAAACCTTAAGTTAATGCCTTACATTACCCTCGCTCTACATATATGAAATTTGTTCTCGTTAAACAACACGACCATCTGTTTACTAAAGCAAAAGATATCTTCTTCTTCTCGAAGCCATAGATACCCCGAAAAACTTGTAATCGACACACTTCCTACATTACCATTAGGTAAGCCTGTTGGCAACCGCAGTTTATTATTATTTTGCAGAAAGAAAAAAGTGCTGCACGTCTCCTGTTCCGGTCTCCCTCTGTTGCCTTTTACGACACCGAATGATATAGGGTTGTGAATTATCTTAGACAGCCAGTTTATGGCGGTTTTTAGGGACCACACGTTGGATCAGCCATAATTGTATTTAAAAATGGGTATCTTTCGTCATTGCTGACCTCATAGAATACTATAATACATACATCATAGAACGGGGGAGTGGGCGGAGAATGTGTTTCCACTAACAAGTCACTAACATGTCGATTCACACCTATAAATGTCAACACAATCAATCGTTTCCAATTTTCGTGTCAAGCGTCACTGCATGCAAATTATTTAAAAATGGAAAAATGTGCAATAATTACGTGTCGAAAGAACAGCGGGAAATGGAATTTAAATTAAAGAGACATATCCGACAACCAGTAATACGAAACTTTATATTTTGTGAATATTAGAAACAAAAATAAAGAAATATTGTTGTGTCAAAAACATTCATCAAAAGCCTAAAATATGTAAATTCGCTCAGTCTCTCAACACAGCGAATCGGGTTCGTAGTAGTGATAGTACGATGTAATTGCTTGTATGTGTGCCCCCGGCGACACCAATTCTCGTACAAAATAAGGTTGACAGCCATTCTATTATGTATTATAGTATTCTATGGCTAACCTAATCCAGTGTTAATCCGCTGGGCTGACAAAACACATCAGCATTTTGTGAGGACTGTGCTCGTTAGTCACCCTTACTGCTATAAGCGATATTAATTTATTAAGTGAACGACCGAATTGACAAATAGATAATTTTTAATCTAATCATCTACAATCGCGAAAAGAATTATCTGTGCTGGTGCTCTCGTGTCTTATCTTATCAGCCTTACACATACACTGCTTGATATAGGTAGGTCTTTTTAAATGCCACACACGAGCCTGGTTAGTTACTACGTGGTAGCACACATTTCTGCTTAGAATTTTGTCTTAGTTATCCCTTCTTACCTATTTCTGCTGCTAAATAATAGCGTGTGCTGCTGTATTTGGGTCTGAAAGGTGTAGAGAGCCTACTGACTATACTAACTACAGGTTGTGAGGCATTTCATCTTAGTCCGTAGAGGTGACAAAACATCTTCTTCCTGTCCTTATCTCAAATTGTTCGGGTCGGTCGGCAATCATCATCCTGTCTTAGCCGCCATATTCTCACGCACCCCGCATAATATCATCCATGACACATTTCATCCAACTTTTCTTAAGCCTCCCTCTACATTTATAACCATTCACTTTCATAGTGACCACGCATCTGTAGTCTTATTTATTTGAAGTTAGTTGCAGATGCAGATGTCAATGGGCTGTTGTCGGCACTTACTATCAGGTGGACTGCCTCCCTGCTTAAATTCCTCTCAGGCCAACGAGAGGAGGCCTGTGCCCAGGTCGTGCTAGTAAGTGTGGCACTTAAGGACCGTGTTTACTTCGCCCAAACACCTGAAGTCGGCATCTAGGGAAGAGTTTGGGATATTTCTTCTTATACTTACTTGCTATATCTATTTATGTAAGCATGCTACAAACTGAAAAATCTGTAAATTCAAATTGATAAGAAGTTACCATTGTAATTGTAATCTATTTTAAAGTAAATAAAAAATACTATTTATTTATTAGGAATTTCTATCCTTTTTAAATATATGCATACACACTTTATTAAGAAATCAACAAGGAATTTGCTTAGTAATCTTTCTTTCACTACTGAAAATTTTTGGGTTAATATTTTTTGGGATATAATAAATCAGCTATCCTTAACTATTAAATTGTTATTCTAATCACTAGGTATGAAGTTCAGATTTGATGTTTGTTTTCAGTCTGTGCCATAGATAAATTCATAACGATAATACACATCTGTGCCAAACATTTCTTATTCTATATCCATTCCCTTCCCTTTCATTCTTTCCATTCATTCAATAATCCATATAATTAGGGGTCATCAGTGAAAAAAAAAAGATCGTTATATATTAATATCTATTTAAATTGACCCCACTATCATGAGGAAAAAAATATCGATATGTCAGTAAAATTTTTAAAGATTTTCGGTTTTAAAATAATAATGTATTTAGTTCAGTCTAGCTAAATAATAGTCAATTTTATTTTTTATACAAAATGCATATTATTTTAATGTATAAGAATCTTAATAAAAACGAAGATATTTTCCATTATTCCTTTTTACTATCGTGTCAAAATTAGAAAATATTAAAAACTAAATAGCAATCTTCTAATATGATGAAAGAAATGTTTTACTACTTTGCTAAATGTTAATTCAAATGAAATAAATATATTGTAAAATATATAAACACAGTATTGTATTTAACACACATTTTAAAATGTCTTTTATTGAGAGACGATTTTATACAGGATATAATTACGTCTACTCAATAATGAAATTAGTATTGGTAATTTCTTGAACATATTTTAGAATTTATAAATGACTATGATTAATTTGGTTTAAATGCAATACGTAATATGATTTTTGTTTAAGTTTGTGGTTATTAAAATTTTATTAATAATATGTTAAAGTATTAATATATTTTCTGTTGAGCTGTACTTGGAGTGGAAAGCGGAACAACAATCAAAAAGTGAATTCCGATTATCCACCCCTCTAGGGTGGATAAACGAACACGCGTTTCCGAGTTTCAACCCGGGGTGGATTTCTTAGGATAGATCAACGGAATAACCCCATTTTAAGACCAATTTATTCTATTTAATAAGTCACTGTAGAATTGAAAAATATATTTAAGAACGATTTTCGATTTAATATTTTGTATCGATTCGTATCAAAGTATCGAAAAATAACGATACATCGATGCGTTGATATTTTTTCAACAAGGCTACATAGATTATACTATCTAGTAGGTGGAGCGGTGGAGAAGAAAGACACTTCATTCATGTCATTGATTTTCATTGGATAAAATAAAATTTGTGCTTCAAATATAAACAGAATAGAGAATACGCACCCTTTAAAATTTATAAGAAAAAACTTATAACTATTAAACACATTTGCAATAATCTAAAAATATAACAAATCTACATTCTCCACACATAACCTCTTTATGTATTCAAATAAAGAAAATAGGTAGAAATAAAAACCACAGTATTATCATGCAATATGCAAATTAAAAATATACGTACTGCTCTTTTAAAACGTGCATTCCACTTTCGGGGAAATCGTTAGATGAAACTAAAACTTTTAGTGATTTTGTCATGTTTGTATTTAACGCGACGTTCGCCGACGATGAAGTATGAATGACTGCCGCAATAACTATTAGACCGAACATTGTTTGCAGATTTACTTGGCACATAGTTATCTTGCAAAAAAAAAATAATCGTTTTGATAACAAACGCTTTATCTGGTAATAGTGACTTATGGAGAGAATAACGCCGACGCTCGGCGGCCGTACCGGACAAGACCTGTCTTTAAACTGACCAACGATCGGGAATAATTTATAGAATTCATGTAGTATTTTTATAAATACGTCGACTTCTACTTTTACATTCAATCTTGAAAAACTTGTTAGGCTTAATACCTACTACAAAAACTTCTAAGAAGATTACCTATGTGTAAAGTGGAATACAAGGGCGTTCAAAATATTAAAACTTTTGAAATAAGTAAAAACCGTAAGAATAATAATAAAAAAACTTGAAAGAATAAGATACATAATTTACTCATAATTTAATAACTCCCGAAGGTACTAAAATAGTGTATTCGAAAAGCTGCGTCTTCCGAAGCTTTTAAATTGTGTGGAAAATATTTTATTCTTTTTAATTTCGTGGTCTGTTTTTATATTTCTAAAATTTGAATCATTTTTTTATAGGAGAGGGGCAAACGAGCGTACGGTTCATCTGATGTTAAGGTTGCGTTAATGTTGCCGATGCGTTGCCGGCCTTCATTTCACCTTTTGAGTGCACTTAGCAATACCACAAGCAAGGTAGCAACTAGAATATCGTTTCAATAATTACCGTTACTGTTACCGTTACAGCCTATTAAACTCCACTGCTGAACATGTGTCTCCCTCATAGATTGTTTCATAGGGGGAATATTTGCCATAATTGCCACGCTTGGCGAGCGGGATGACAACCACAGTTTTTTTTATTTTTAGATTTTTTAGATTAAAAAGACAATGCTGTCCATCTGATTAGTTTCCCTCTGTCGCCTCTTACGACACCCAGGGGATGATATGGGGTAGTGGATATTCTTAAACCGCTACTATAGCTAGCTTTTACTGTACTATTATAATATGTATTTAGAAAGACACTGTAATATATCATACATGCCATATCTATGGCGTCATGTTAGCCTAGTGCAAAGTTTTCAATATTTTACCCAAAGTTGAAAATATCGGAATCCAACTCCCATTTACATACAATAAAAACTTCATCCCTATATTTTCTACAAATTTGAACATGATCACCGTTGAGGTATAACCTATTTAAAAAAAAAGGATTTAATAATATTAGTTCATATTCGGAGAAGATATCGCGTAACATTCAGAGCTGCAACAAATACTGTCGAATTAAAAACCACCCTTTTTGATGTCGGTTAAAAAAGTCAGAATGCCGTACAGACTCTTAGTAAACTGTTGGAAAAAGATCCTGATTAGTTTTTGGCTCGGTGTATAACAATGGAGGAATTGTGATTTCACCATTACGAGCTTGCAGCAAAATTGTAGTATATGACTTGGATAAGGTCATCATGTACAACTTGTAAGAAATTCGTGGCCAGTCCGTCAGTCAGCAACATCTTGGCAACATCTTATTTATACGTGGTAGAGCCATGCTGCAGTTATATTAGTAGTATAGTGGTTGTATTAGTGCGACTGCTGAAAATGAGGTCCTGGGTTTGAATCCCAAATCGGACCAAAAAAAATCAGTTATTGAGTTTTTCCGTCAAGAAATTTTCAGTAGATGCCCGGAGTCAGGAAGTTGGCGGTGTCTCACCCCTGTGCGTCGGAAAGCACGTAAAGCCGTTGGTCCTGCGCCTGATCTCTCTCCGGTCTTGTCGGTTTACCGTCCCATGGGATTATGAGAGTGAGGGAATAGAGAGTGCACCTGTGCTTGCGCATACACTTGGGCACTATAATCCTGTCCTGCGCCGATGGCTAGTCTCCGTTGAGGCTGGCCGCCGTGACTGAAATTCGGTCTGGAGGACATTATTAGTATAGTTGTAGCTCGAATGGGTCGGCTCGACCGGGGAAGAACCACCCTCTCACAGAATACCGTAAAAATGTAGCATAGTGCTGCTGTGTTTCTTACGGTGAGGGTAGAGAACCGGAGACACTTTTTACTGGAAACGTCATGCAACCAGTGGCGAAGCTTCCATTAAAGCCGAAAAGCCGGGCTTGCCTTATTAAACCTGAATCAATCAATAATATCAACTAATAAAATAACTCGTAAAATGTTTCAAGCTATTTCAAATTTCCCGCGCACTCCACTGTTCGACACATGTCTACCGATGACCTCGTATTGCCTTAGCGATACTGCTGCTGTCATAAAAAATAAGTTTTAATAGAGCTAATAGTTGTCTCCCTCGCTCGCGTGGGCTTTTTACGGGGCTTTCGAGAAGACGATCGCTCTCTTTCTAACCTATGGCAAAATATTCTATAATGAAATATAACTACGATTGTATATATAGCAATTAGTATAGAGATTTAAAGCCAGGATTTTGGGAATAAATTTGTTAAAAGCGGAGGCGCGCGGGCAATACGTTCGCAAGTTCATTTCACGTTTCAATGTTTATTTACTCTGTGTTCTTATCTTAAGCGATTTAATATTACGAGTTCAAAATTTATGCTTTTTTAAAGATTTTTAATGAAAATGGAGGATAATAGTGTTCCTTGTGATGAATTGAAGTGTGTTAAAGTGATAATCGGAGAGGAAATCTTTAAACTTTGTTGAGATAATACACAAGGTTAAGAGTGTATTTCAGACTTATCAATTATCGCAATTAAAAACAGTTATTGGTACAATAAAAACGTTCACCAACATTTTACGTGAACGTAATTAAATCTTTCCATAAGAAAGCGAGACGATTCCACTTATGTTATCTTATCTCTTATCAATTAGAATATAAATATTTTTTTTTTAATTTTTACATAGTTTGTACTTTGTTCGTGTTTTACTTTTGTTCATGTATTGTATTGGATGTAAATATTTTTTTTCTTTCGCTTAAACAAACCCTGAATATGAAACTGAAGCGTGGAGACAGATCAAGATTGGTGTATTTTTATAAAACTGCTAAAAACAACAATCTATATTTTTATCAATTTATATCTTGGGCTTGCCCTAGCTCTAGCTTCGCCACTGCATGCAACGTCAAACATTCCATTGTAGTCCTCACGGGCGACAACGTAACTGCATTTTGATTAGTAGTTGTGGATAGATGTAGATGTCTATGGGCCACAGCAACCATTTACCCTCAGGTGGACTGTGTGCTCGTTTGTCACCCTATCCTATAAAAAAAATCTTGGGCTCTCATTTCTGGTATAATCAAGGGAAGTAGTGATTAAATATCTCGTTCAAAGAGCACTTTGTGTGCAGATAACCTCTCAACCCCCTAGCGGTCTCATGAGACCGCGGGCATATTCCGTCAAATCCCTAGCGGTCTCATGAGGTCGCACCCATCCACAGCACTTTAACCCATAAAAACTTATATATAGAGACGATTTTTCTATGCAGAAGTTTGGCATTACATATATAATCAATATGAAATACTCTATCTTCTAGTCCAATAAGAAAGCTGTTATCCTATGAATATTTATTTATAATCTACGTTTATTTCGTACGCCATTTTCGCGTGAATGTTATTGTGTTGATTTTCGGATTTTTCTAGTGTTTAATTAGCGATTAGTATAGTGTTTTATTATAACATTGTAATAAAAGTCTTTGTGTGAATATAATTTATCTTTTTACGTAAATAATTTCGAGTAATATATATTGAAATAATAGTGATTTTCACGCTGCCGACATTCGCTTGGTATCTTTTTTTGTTATCAAAATACAATGGTTTGGCGGCGGGCCTAAGGGTTCCCCAGTTCCGGTTCCCCGGTCGAGCCTTGACCCTATTACGCGAGTTGTTTATCACTATATGGACTGTATTCGCGGATGATGCCTAAACAAGATGGCGGATTTGGCACTTTTCCTTGACAATGCACTCGCTCTTCCGAAAAAAACCTATTGCTTGCCAAGGTTATGAAGGAATCCTGCTTGAGCACATTAAGAGAAATGAAATTGGGGCGGATTAATTAACAAAACACAAATGCTCAAGCAGGCGTCATAGGAAAAGAAGCGCACTTACCGAGGTGTGACTTCGATGCGGCTTGGACGCTTCCGTTGCTGCAGTGCTACTTCTGGCGGATCTCCTGGGGCCCCAGAGATGCGGTCCTGGTCGGTGATGCGATGGAAGAGAGCGGTGCGCGACGATATCTCACTAGGTGAGGCGGTTACTTCTGGAGCTCGACTGCTCCAGGTGGTGCGGTTTGAAACTAGCGGTGTGCGTGGGCAAGAGCCCTCTAGGATGCGACTGTCCCAGGCGGTGTGGTTCCAACCAGCGGCGCAAAGGCAAGAGAGCGCTCGAGCCCAGCGCGCGAACTTATATCGGCTTCCTTCCCACCGAAGTCGGGCGCTCTTCTCATTGGTTGCAAATCACGCAACATTCTAGAATCTCTTCTATCCCCTCTTACCCCACCACCCCGGTGTATCGGAGGAACGATAGGTGAAGGAAAGGACAACGCTTGGCAAGCATACCGTCGAATAAAATAAAAATACGAATGGTTTTCCGCGCAACCATACCCCCGGCTTGAAGGGTCCCCTTCAAAAAATAACTAAAACAACTAATGCTAAGATTAAACTAACCACATAAATAACGCTAAGATTAAACCTAAATTTCGACTACAATTTCTAATCTAGAAAACTAATCCAAACTATTGAATGGGCAAAGGACACAAACGGATTGTGTTACTCGTCAAGACCTAAGGTCCGCCATTTCTGGAAATGACGGCTTAGGACGTACTCGAAAGAAAGCTATACATCTGTGCACCCGATTGCGGATTAAATTACGTGCTGCAAGAATCCAATAATTCTGACGAAAGATTGACATCATCAAGTCGGGGCCAGCGTGAGAATTCAATTTATAATGGTAATCAACTAATAAATTCATGATATGGACTTTACGCGGTAAAACTATAGGGTGTCGTTGGTCGAAACTCAA